GCAAATACTTTAATGTCTGGAATGTATTACATTCCAAAAAAATACAAAGGGTGCTGCAATTGATTTTTGAAATGGCTCCTAAAATTCAATACTTTCTGCCTGGTTAATCAGTCCATGTGAGGAGATCAGGATTCGAGGGTTTCCATTTCATTAGTGGTTTTTATGGGGTGTACTTAATATCAGTGCTGAAAGTAAATTCACCAACTCTTCCACTGACCTTTACTGTGCACTTCCTACGAATTTAATCAGTTGAAACAAATTAATTTCTCTCAGCTTTGATGTCAGTTAACTGGCACAGTTATACATTTCCATCTAGAGGACATAGTTCCGTTTGTTGTTCTTTAATTAAAGTCACCATGGCAATGGGTGAAGTTTTAATTAATGTGAGGGCATTGTCATATTAATTTTAATTTAAACATAATATAAGGAAGTTTTCCCTCCCTAATTAGTTTCCATTAAAGAGCCCCCTAGAAGGAATCTTTACTTCCATTTCTTAAAGCCTAAGCTTAACTTTAGGTAGTTTGCTTTCGCTTCTGAAGCATGTTCAGTTTCTGTGGGAGAAACAGTATCCACTTAACCAAAAGAAAAGGCAGGCGGGTTCTGCCATCCCGTGGGGGGTTTTAAAAAGATGACCATAGGAAAATACATCATTTTTGATGATTGATAATAATAACAACCCCCCCCCAAAAAAAAAAAAAAAAACCTGTTGCTGTCAAGTCGATTCTGATTCATAGCAACCCTATAGGACTGAGAAGAACTGCCCCATAGGGTTTCCAAGGAGTGCCTGGTGGATTTGAACTGCTGACCTTTTGGTTAGCAGCTGAGCTCTTAACCACTGCACAAAGGAGGCCAAAAATTAAGTTTATTCTCTGGGCAAGAAAGAACAAGCACATTTTATGTTGCCTAAAAAAAAAAAAAAAGTACAGTGTGTGTTTCAGAAAATCCATTTAAGCTGCCTTTCCTATAGAATCTTCTGGAACTTAAAAATATGTCATTGCTAGCCTTTCTCCTGACAGCAGGAGCCTAGCCGACTCAGTCCTTCTGTCTCTGTAGGACTCGCTGTGCCCTCCCAGGGCCGGGAGCTGGACAGCAGTGAGCTGGAGTCCTAGAGGATACACCATTGGCTATCTGCTTTGGCTTCCATTTCTGCTAATGACTGAAGAGTCACTTGCCACCGCAGCTAATAGACAAGAAACCCCAATTACACAAGAGAGCTCTGTATAGATTCCACTGACATGGAATTGATTGAGGAGATCGAGCACATCATAACTGCATCAGGAAGATATTTAAATTGTACTATGCATTCCCGTGAGATTTATCTGATTCTTATGTAATTTGTCAAGACAATTGGGGACATCAGAACACAATTCCTCCACTCCCTCCTTAGTGCCCCGATAAGCAGTAATAACCATGGCAGGCTGGGATACAATCAGTGTTCAGCTCAGCTCTTTTCCTGCCTAAATAGAAGCATCTTAGTAATTTGTTCAGGGCAAGTGTGTGTTGGAAGAAAGGGAAGTTTTGGGCCATTAGGGGTATAGAAGAGACTGAGTATCTGTGAGGCCGTGGGACTCGAGACAGAACCAGTAGTCTACCCATCAGTTTGAGTCAGAGGGAGGCTTGTCAGAAGAATCAGGAATGGGAGGTGTCACGGAAGCCGGGGAAGACTAGATTGTGGCTGGAGAATGTGGTCAACATTGTCATAGAATGCACAAAATTCACTCTGGACAAGAGCGGAGCCTAGGGTTTAAGGGTGTACATTCTGGAGTTAGAGAGACTTGGGTTCAGTTTTAGGTTTTGCATTGTGGCCCCAGAAACAGTATTTTACCATCCTGAGCCTCTGTAAAAAACAAGATAGTCATGCCTGTATCACTGGGCTATGGTAAAGATAGATGATTTCACGTATGAGGTGTCTGACATGTGATAACTGCCCAAGAAATGAAAGATGTATTTTGTTGTCTTTACACCTTCTCCTCATTTATTGACTATCTCGTTATCTGACATTTTACATTTACAACAATAGTAAAAAGTCTACTACCCGACTATTTTGTCCATTAACGTCGTATGTCTGGCAGTAACGAACGCTGAGGTGCGAGGTGACAGTAACGCTGGCTGTGATGGTTAAGGTTATGAGTCAGCTTGGCTGGGCCATGATTCTTAGTGATTGGGCAGTTACGTAATGATGTAATTCAGCAGTTATGTAATGATGTAGTCATCCTGCATTTGGTGATCTGATGTGGTCATCCTCCATTTTCACATCATGCCAGTTTCGCATAATGACCTGGTCTTTGGAACCTAACCATGTTGATAAGTGAGGAGGGGGTGTATTGTTATTGGTGGTGATGGTGCTGGTAGTATTAATAGTGAAATAACAAGTGGAAGTATTCACTGGATTAACCCATGAGGAAGTTAGTTGATGATCTTGTCATCTGCAATGCCAGGAGAGAATTGGGGGGCAGAAAGTAGATTGCTATGGTCTAAGGCAAAACTTTTCATTCTGGCACTACTGACACTTGGGGTCAGATAATTCTCTGTTTTATTGGGGGGGGGGAGTGTCCTGTGCATCATAGGGTGTTTAACAGTACCCTGGCCTCTACCCACTAGATGCCAGTTGCATTGATTCTAGGCTATGGATTTGCCATCTGGATTTGAGAGAAAGAGAAAGTGGATAAGGGCTTTGAAGGTTTTATTTATAAAAGTTTGAAGGTTTGAGCTGTGGTGTATAGGCTGTTTAGAGAGGGAAGGAGAGATAGGAGGGGCTGGTGGATTGGGAGAAAATGGACCAGGGCACGAACTGGAGGTCCCCAAGAAATCAAAACATGATTGTAGTGAAAGTGAGAGCATCTGGCAGACTGTCATCAGAGCGAGGTGTTTGGGTCAGCCCCATGCGTGGTGCTTAAGGAGCCCTGGTGGTGCAATGGTTAAGTGCTCGGCTGCTAACCGAAAGGTCAGCGGTTTGAACCCACCAGCTGCTCCACAGGAGAAAAGACCTGGCAATCTGCTGTCATAAAGATTACAGTCCAGGAAACCCTAGGAAACCCTATGGAGTAGTTCTACTCTGTCCTATAGGGCCACTGTGAGTCGGAATCAACTGGACGGCACCCAACAACAACAAACCCAGAAAAAATCAAACTTGTTGCCCTCGAGTCAATTCCGACTCATAGAGACCCTATGTCACAGAGTAGAACTTCCCCATAGGGTTTCTAAGGCTGCAGTCTTTCTGGGAGCAGACTTTCTCCCACGCAGCAGCACCGCAGTGCTAAATAACTGCACAAATGAGTAAGATTTTCACAAATAGTGAAGTAGTAGGGAAGGCTCTTGAGGTAGAAGAGGGCAAAGCACTGTGAGGTTATGGCATTAACTAAAGTTAACTAACATTGTAGTCAGAATATTATTCAATTACCAGCAATCATAAGGAGCCTTGGTGGCACAGTGGTTAAAGCACTCATCTGCTAACTGGAAGGTCAGCAGTTCAAACTCACCAGCTGCTCTGCGGGAGAAAGATGTGGCAGTCTGGTTCTGTAAAGATTTACAGCCTTGGAAACCCTATGCGGCAGTTCTACTCTGTCTTATAGGGTCACTATGAGTCAGAATAGACTCAACGGCAATGGGTATTTTGGGTACCAGTGATCAAAGATGTCACAGGACCAGGCAGTGTTTTGTTCTGTTGTACGTCGGGCGGGTTGCCATGAGTGGGGGCTGACTCAGCGGCAAATGACCCCAACACCAACATCAAAGAGTTTGAGCAGAGAGGGTCTGGGTGTGACGGGTGTGGCACTGTGAGTGGAGGAACAAAACCAGGAAACGCTCTCACTCTCTGATGGAAGCGGCACTGCTGCCCCCGTGCCTGGCCTCCTCCTTACCTGGATGTGGATTTAGCGGCCAGCCAGGGCTTAATTAAGGATGGGCGTTGGGAGGAGCGTACCGTCTGTGATGAGGCTAACGTAGGCAATTGTGTCACCCATGGGTTCTGAGACCCAGGGTGTGACGGAAGGATTGGCACAGAAAGGGAGGCTGCGGGGTCATGGTAGAGAAAAAACAGCACAGAATAGGGGGCAGGGGAGAGTGGATGGGGGGCTCCAGGAGTTTGCAGCGTGGAGGGTGACCTGCCAGAATTGCAGAGCCTCAAAGTTCCAGACAGTCATGTTGATAGGGACTCTGGTGAGGGTGCTCCTGTCCCAGGCCTGGGTCGCCTCGTCAGTGGGGCTGACTCGGGCCGGTGCCAGGTCGGTGGCTCTGGGGGCCTGACAGCAGGACAAGAATTAGCTTCCTGAGGCTGGCGTTTGCTTCTAGGGCACAACCTGTTCAAGTGATTTTTATTCAGTCCCTAATTGGTATAATTTTAGAAAGATAATCTTTTGTGTGAATCTCCAATTTTTTAATTTTAACCTATAGTTTTACCTTCTCTTAATTAAAGAATCCAGACACTTCTGAAAACATGTGCAAAATCGAACCAGTTCAATAAATAGTGACATTTCAGGATATAGGCAGCTTTCTAAGTTGTTCTTTGCTGGGAAATTTTGTGGGGGTGGGGGGTTATACTAGTGATTTTGTTTCTAATGTGCAAGAGCCCGAGACTCTTGTTCTCAGTCTTAAGTGTTTTGGGGACAAAGGAGATTGAGAAAAGCAGCCATTGTCCTTCAGTATTTTTTTAAATTAATTATTTGTTATTTACAAAGGGAAAAATGGAAGAATGATTCAAGCCATTTATCTACCCAGCTAAGGGAATTATCTTACTCATTTTCTTTCTCTCTGGCACTTAAAATATCAAGCACATATTAGACTCTCTGCAAATGGTTATTCAATAAAGAAAAACAAAAAACTGCACTGAAAAACATACATGCTGTTGTTCGTCTGTTTAAGTGATAAGGTGGTAAGCTTTAGTCGAATGTAAGTGCTGGAGACAAAAGCGTGCATTTCCTACATTTGGGGCACCTGGGTGGAAGGAGGAACCTTGGTTTCTGTGTGCTCATGAATGTGTCTTTTTGCCTGTGTGTTTTCAGGTGGTTTGAAGTGTCCCGTTTGCAGCTTTGTGTATGGCACCAAATGGGAGTTCAACAGGCACTTGAAGAACAAACACGGGCTGAAGCTGGTGGAAAATGAAGGAGACCCCAAGTGGGAGGTAACTTTTTTAAAGTGTGGTATTGATCTGGAGCCAAACAAGTTATTTATAAAGTTTACTTGGAAGAATAAGCACGAATAGCTAGGAAAACCTTGAAAAATGGCAGTGGGAGGACAGTCCTGCCAAGTATTAAAACATATCATGAAACCTCTATAACCAAAACAGTGTGGTAAGGGTGCACAAATGCACAGACAGTCTAATGGAACAGAATAGAAGTTGCAGAATCAACCAAATCAAGTATGGAAATTTAGTGTATGATAAAGAAGACCTCTTAACTTGGTGGGAAAAAGATGGACTTTTTTTTATAAGTGATGTAAGATAGTTCAATAACCTTATGGAAAAAGATAAAATCAGATCTGTTTTTCATGATTTTTATGACATAAATTTCAAGAGTCAGAGATTTAAATGCAAAAACAGTGATGTCTTATTAATGCTAGAAGAAGACAGGAGTGGATTCATCTACAAACTGAGACTGTGGAAAAATTTCCAAAGTATAATTCAAAAATCCAGATTCTATAAGGGAAAATACTGAAAAAAAAATTGACTGCATGAACAATTTTTAAACATTTTATGGAAAAAAATAAAACACACACGAAGTAAAAAGACCAACGGCAAAAAGCGTTTGCGGTCATATAGAAAAAGGATTAATATTTTTGTGGTATAAAAGGCCTCTAAAAATAGTGATGAAAGAGATCAACAACCAAATAGAAAGATGGGCAAGAAATAAGAAAAGTTCATAGCACAAGAAATGCAAATCACCTCAAATAGGTGAAAACATTATCAACCTCATATGTAATAAAAGCAGTGTTAATTAAAACTAGACTGAGGTGGACTCTCTCACCTGTTAGGTTGGCAGGAATCCAGAAGTTGAATGTCATCTCTACTGGGAAGTCTATGGGGGTGTCTTAGTCATCTAGTGCTGCTACAACAGAAACACCACAAGTGGATAGCTTTAATAAAGAGAAATTTATTTCTTCACAGTAAAGTAGGCTAAAAGTACAAATTCAGGGCATCAGCTCCAGGGGAAGGCTTTCTGTCTCCGTTGGCCTTCTCATCAATGTTCCCCTGGAGTAGGAGCTGCTCTGCGCAGCGACCCCGGTTCCAAAGGACACGCTCTGCTCCTGGCACTGCTTTCTTGGTGGTATGAGGTCCCCCAGTCTCTCTGCTCGCTTCTCTCTTTTATATCTCAAGAGATTGCTGCAGGACACGATCCAATCTTGTAGATTGAGTCCTGCTTTACTAACACAACTGCCACCCATCCTCCCTCATTAACATCATTGAGGCAGGATTTACATCATATAGGAAAATCACACAATACCGGGAATCATGGCCCAGCCAAATTGATACACACGTGTTTTGGGGGACATAATTCAATCCATGACGGGGGAATACACACTCTCATACATTGCTGATGGGAATGCAAATAGTACCACCCCTCTGGAGGAGAATTTAGCAATATCTAGCAAATTTTCAAATGCATTTCTTTACCCACTAACTAAACAACCCTTAGGAAACGATCCCAAAGTTACACTGGCAAAAATAAGAAAAAGTATCTGCACAAGGCTGCCTATTGCAGCACGTGGCTGGAAACAAGCTAATATCCATCCACAGGAGATTGGATGAGTACATTAGGATGCATACACAGTAGAGAATCACACAGCTGTAAAAGGGGGCAAAGGACAGCCCTGTGTAATTCTAGGGAGTGGTCTCCAGGGTATACTGTTAAGTAAAAAAAGTGAGGTGAAGAAAAGTGTTTGTTGTTTATATTAAAATAAGTGGGAGGATAAATAAAAAACTTAAAAAGGAGCGTGTGTGGCAAATGACTCTAACCATGTTTCAGATGAATGACAGTCACACTGAAGGGGGCAGGAGAGAAAGGAGCTGACTTAAGTAATTTTGGAAAACAGTGTTTTCACTGAATACTCTAAGGCTAAAGAAAAAAAGTGTACATAAGTACGGTAATTATCATAGTAAATGTGTTTCTTACAGTAGTATAGGTTAACAATTCTGGAACTACTTCATGTGTATGCTAGGATCAAAGAAGTAACTAAATATATTGTAGATAATGAGAACCAGGTTTTTCATTGTTAGAGAAAGAAGTTACAAATAAGGAAAGAGGGACAGCTAGAATGAACCTTGTAGTGCTGAATTGGAGTCATTTTTTTAAAAAAATATATGAAGTCAGTTTTTAATATATGTGTACATACAGATAGATGCAGAAATGATTATAGATATATGTGTATGCGTGGGATAGTTAGATATATGTGTATACATGGATTAGTATACCTGCATATATTTCCCTAGCCCTTTGTACTAAGAGAGCCTAGAAACAGTGACACCCTGGTAGCAGTGAGTACACCTAGTGCCCAGATCTTGGTTTCTAATAGCATTGTCCAATAAAAGGAACGAGAGTCCCTTGGAAAAGTGATTGATTCCAGGACTGAAGCAGAGAAAATACATGATGAGCCTGGAGCATCTTCTGGTCCTGTTGTTGTTGTTAGGTGCCATCGAATCAGTTCAACTCATAGTGACCCCATGTACAACAGAATGAAACACTGCCTGGTCCTGTGCCATCCACATAATCATTGTTAAGCTTGAGCCCATTGTTGCAGTCATTGTGTCAATCCATCTTTTTGAGGGTCTTCCTCTTTTTCGATGACCCTCTACTTTACCAAGCATGATGTCCTTCTCCAGGGACTGATCCCTCCCGGTAACATGTCCAAAGTATGTGAGACATAGTCTCACCATGCTTGCTTCTAAGGAGCATTCTGGTTGTTCTTCCAAAACAGATTTGTTTGTTCTTTTGGCAGTCCGTAGTATACTCAGTATTCTTCATCAACACTACAATTCAAAGGCATCAATTCTTCTTCTGTCTTCCTTATTCATTGCCCAGCTTTCGCGTGTATATGACGTGACTGAGAACACCATGGTTTGGGTCAGGTGCACCTTAGTCCTCAGGGTGACATCTTTGTTTTCCAGCACTTTAAAGAGGTCATTTGCAGCAGATTGGCCCAATCTGATGCAACATTTGATTTCTTGACTGCTGCTTCTGTGGGTGTTGATTATGGATCCAAGTAAAATGAAATCCTTGACAACTTCAA